ACCCGGTGACAGTCCGCTCCATTGCTCCTCTGGACCCAACCCTAGTCTGCCTGTCCGCCCTCCAACGAGTTTATTCATCTCTGGATAAAACCCCACAAACTGGATCCTAAGGAAAACCAAGAGCCCCTCGAACGTGACTTCCATGCCTGCATATTACAAGTCTCAGTCATATTTCCTACGGGCATTGAACTGATTATTGTGATCTCTCCTTCAGAGTTTCCGGTTCCTGTTAACCAGTCCGCTGAGGTGCAACTGAGTTTATCCAGCTGTATAACCTCTCTGTTTTTGTTAACCTACAAATAAACCAATTAACTTATACCCTTGGTTTTCTGAGTGTGTCTCTGCATGTGGGTGAGAACCTTAGAGCCCATCATGACAGACATATCCGTATTTCAGCCACTTTAATGATCATAATCAAAAGCTAAATGTACAAAATAGGGGAACCATAACAATTTTGATACAACCAAGAAAACCACCTCATTAGAGCTTAGCACCTTTTATCAAAAAGTGAGTGACGTGGGTCTTTTATAAATAACGCTGTTTCCGTTTAGCAAATTCATTTGGGAGTTACAATTTTTGTCATTTGATGGTTAATGGAAACACAACTACTGTGCTGTTTGGTGACATGGTGTGTACCACACTCAACATGGACCAGAGGAAGTGAAGGAAAGAGTTGTCTTAGGAGATTAGAAAGAATATTATAGACAAACATGTTAAAGGTTAAGGCTTTAAGGCCATCTCCAACCAGCTTGATGTTCCTGTGATTCCAGTTGCATGAATTATACAGAATTTTAACATCCATAACACTGTATATTATAAGATTCAGAGAAACATCTCAAAGATTCTAGGGTTTCTGGCAGTGGCTGACATTTTTTTTTTTTTCTGTGTTATCATCATCTGTAGAAGCAGTCAGCAGACATGCTGGGGGCCCCTTTCCACGTCATAAAAGAGCACAACAAATTCACAAAATAGCCGTTCAAAATGACAAATTATACAGTTTAGCAAAATTAAAGAAACAAAAAAAAAATTATTTTTTTGCTATTTTTAACAACTTTTTTTTTTTAAGGAATCTGAGAATACTGCAGATCAATCCACTTTTGATGTTTCAAGATTCCCTAAATACACCAAAATAGCCCTTTCATTTAGAGCCTAATTGAAAGCTTCAAAACCAACCGTTCATTTAGATTTCAAACACAAAATGGTGACCACTCTGAGGACATGATACAGAGATTTTTCTCTCCAGTGCTTCTGCCACCCTTCTGGGTCATGTTTTCATGGTAGTAGAGCCACATTGGCCATATCAAGTGGGCATTAAAATAAGGTTTTTCTCTATAGAGTGTGTGAGGTTATCTGTATTTGTGTTGTCCTAATGCATATCTGCAACAAAAAAGAATGTATAGAGGGAGGTTGCTGAACTGTTTCTATTAGTCATATTGGTTCATTATTCACAATTTACAGCCATCATAATACAAGGACATCCAGCAGTGACTCATATTCTACCAAATCATAGGTTACAGGCTGCATTTCAAAACAGTATATTAAACAAAAAGGATTATTACAGTATTTCCACACACCTTTCCCCTCAGATCAGAAGCCTACCTAAAATGCTTGAACAAATATGTTTATGAATGTAGCATTTACTTTGTCTGAGTGCTCTGCCTGCCTGTCTAGAAAAAGCTTTACAGGAAATGCAGTCCATTTACCACCCACTGATAAAATGCTGATTTTCGGTCGCTCAGTTCCATGAAACATGATTTAATTCCTCAGCAACATGCAATGATTTGTTAATACATTGATGAACAATAATAAAGTGTTTTTTTATTATTATTCTTATTTAAATCTTCTAAAAGAAATTCACCAAGGCTGCCTACATCACAACACCTACTTCTTGCCTCTTTTTTCAGCATCCCCTGTGCTCTGGCCAGATCTGGACACACAATTTCGTTTTTTAACCATCAAATTCAGCTAAAACAAAGTGAAGAATAAGGATGCTCTGGGTTGTTCTGTGTGTTATCTGTTGAGGGAGGGCAGTCGCTCTGGGACGGGAGGGGATGAACATGGCGTGGGTGATAAGTGGCAGAGAAAGTTCAAGAGAGGAGGAGGTGAAAGGCGAGAGAAGGAGGTCAGCTCTGTGGAGAGAAAGGAGAGGAGGGAGGAAGCTTAAATAGATTAAATGGGAGACGTATGTAGCACGGAGAAACTGCAAAGATAAAAGAAGGAGACAGTGATCATCCAGAGGGCAGCACCGGTGCTTTATATTTAGATGTAGAGGAAGCTCTCCAACAAACGCAGGAACTGCTGCAACACCTGCTCGCATTTTTAACATTTTGATTTAAGTTGTGACTGACTGACATTTAACCCTCTATCCCTCAGCTGTGGGGTGATTAGGAATGAATTGACTGTCGCGTCTGTTAACTTTAATGCCAATAGCCCAGTTGGTGCCGCTCTTTTGGCAGTACTTCTTCAGGTTTTTGTTTTTTCAATAACATTCTAGTTTTTAAAAACCTTCCTAAAGCTATTTTATAATCAGGAAAAGAAAGAAAAATAACCCTAGAATTTTGGGAGAAAATTGCCCTAAATTAAGGATGCACTCTTGAAACATGCCTCTAATGGCATAAATGTGGAATATTTTATTTTGAAACATACCACTCTAAACATGTCTTAACAAAACTTAGTTTTCAGATAACAAGACAAGATATGATAAAGGTACTGTAAAGACTAATGTAAGGTTATCCTTGTTAACATCTGTATGCTACAGTTTAAATGCACTTGATTAAACGATCTTGTCAATTTGACCTTTGCTGCATGTTTTCCTCCGTCTCGCTTAGCTCTATTTCCTGTTAGGCCACTTCCAGGAAATAGATCGCATCAAAGATCGCGTCCAAAAGACCAAAAAAAAGTGCTTTATTAAAAAATAAATTTCTAATACTATTAGTGTCATTCTCTAAAAATGCTGGGGATTTATTTTATGAAAATGTGAAGAGAAAAACTATTTTCAACCAAAAGGTAACGTTAAAACATCACACCATTGAACAATTCTTTATAATTTTTGGCCAAAGTTGTTTTATGCGTTGGTCTAAGGAGCAACATGGATTCTCCGGTTCCAGACCAGTGAATTTAATTTTCAATGTCGCATTTGAACGAACCAGCAGATCTTACTCATCAACATTCATCTGACAGATGTGGCAATGGTTAGACTTTCAAGCCTAGTAGGTAGAGCCATGTTTAGAGAAAACCTAGTGCCTCACATCAACTGAGCTCAAACCTCAAACCAAGCATGGTGGTTGAGGAGAGATGATTTGGCTGTGTTTACAGCTTCAGAACCTTGGCTGCTCAGACCTCAGATGCTTTGAGTCAAACATAAATTCTAGTCTAGATGTACATAAGAGCAAGTTTTTCCAACATCTGTAACTTGACCAAAAGTTTGTGCACAACAGGACAAAGTTCCAAAAATAACCCGAAAGCCTTGATGCCGTTACAAATATGCAACAAGCACTTTTTAGGCACCCACAGTGCCATTTATTACAAATTCAGTGAAGACCTAGGAACCTTTGGAAAGCTCTTGTTTCCATTACAACTGGTCCCTAACAGTGTTTGTTATTATTGACAGTTATAAATGTCACAATTTTTTTTTATATACCTACATTTCTGTTTAATTGTTTAACGTTTAGAAATACAAATTTGGCAATTGCTTAAAGGTTAAACCTTGTTTATAAATTCAATTCATTTTCAATTAAGTTTATTTATATAGCGCCAATGCGCAAAATGTCAGCTCAAGGCACTTTAAAGAGACAATTCAAGCAAATCATACAGTCAGATTGGTTTTCTGTCTAAGGAAAACCAGTTGATTGCATCAACACATTGACACGAAAGCAATCCCCAACACAAAGCATGCTTGTAGTGACAGTGGAGAGGAAAACATCCTTTTGACAAAAAGAAACCTACAGCAGAAACAGGCTTAGTGTGCCATCTGCACTAACAAATACTGCAGAATGGGAGAAAAGAGAGAGAATGAAGCAGATTGATGAAAAGGGACCCCTATGTTTTCCAGCAGTCTAAGCCAACAGCAGCACAAATGCAGAAAATAGTTCAGGATAACCAAGTATTTTGGATGAGGTATAAGTAAGGAAGAGCCTCAGTGTGATGAAGGTAGAGACAAGTCAATGTCTATCCGGACTGACATTTTCCCCTGCCATGGAGATAAATACCCACACAAAACTACACAACAACTGATTTTTTTCTGCTACACCCAGCTAAGCGGCTTCGCTTCTTCTTCTTGTTTATTACTGATGGCTGGCTTTGGTCGCAGTACCACCACCTTCTGCTCTGGAGTGTACATGAGAAAAAGGAGCAGCACATGAAGCGAACGCAACACTCGCGAATCGAACCGAGACAGTCTAATCGAACGGTTCCAACGGTTTTCATAAACTGTTCCATCCCTAGTAGAAACCCATGTCCTATAATTATGGAACCATTATTTATCCTGCACTTGCTGCTATTGCACTTCTGGTTAGACCTAAACCGCATTTTGTTGCCTGTACCTGTATCTGTACCTGTGTATTGACAATAAAGTTAAATCTAATCTAATAAGACTGCAGTGGCGGATTTATTAAAAACTGTAAAAAACACTAGTAGGGAAGCAGCCCCACAGCATGAACCTCCCACCACCAGAGCTCATATTGTGTTTTGGACTTTTATTGATTAGAAATCTACAGTTCACAGGAAATGAGTGGTTTTAAGGCAGAGTATTTATGGCTCTTATGATTGCATGTTTGCTCAGCTCTGACTAAACTTAACTGGGTCTGAGGCATGGTGAGGAGGTGTGAAACAGGATGCTAAGAGATGCATGTGTGTGTTTGCATTTGTCATCGCCACCAAGAATACTTTGTAACAACTGTTCAAAGTAACACAAGAAGGAAGGGGGGGGGGGCATTAATGCTAACTAGACTCCTTCAAGGCAGAGGCAACTCAAGAGAGTGCAGAGTGTGTTGTTGGTGTGGCAGAGAGGAGTAAGGTAAAGTGTGTGAGCAACAAGCAGGGAGGGAGAACAGAAAGAGAGGGAGAGTGGATTGGGAGAGTGTTTTATTTTTTCCTAACAGTTCGTCTGACTCTAGTGGCAGTCGGGAGGGAAAAGAACAAATGCTTTATTTTCAAGGAGCTTTTGACTGAGATCCTATAAAGGAGGGAGGTGAAGAGATGCGAGGAGCTTCCTGCTAACCTCAGACTCTTATTTCATCACCCATCCCTGAATGGACGCTCTGTTGTGATGGGGACTGTAAGTGAGCTGTGTGCGTCCAGTTTCCAAGCTTTTCTCTGCCCTACTGTACGAGCGGGAGCACCTGCTGCTGCCTCAGGCAAGTACTTTTGTCACCTTATGTGGTCTGATGTTATTAAATTAAAGCTGTCACATGTGTTATCAATTATTGCTTCTCAGATGTGGAAAAAGCAAAACAAAAAAAAAACAAAAAAACAGAAGAAGTGGCTCCAGTGTTTTGTTGCTGTGGTGATTGTGAGTTCCCGGTGGAGCTCTCTGTATATTTCTGACATTTCTATGTTCAAGTACACACAAGTAAGTGTGTGTTTGTGTTTGATTGAGAACATGACGCACTCCCATCACATTCCAGTCCAGGATCCTCCTCTCCAGTGGGTGTCGAAGTGACATAATCTCCATCTCTGCCCACTGCTCTCCGCTCCCTGCAGGTGCTTTCACGCTTGGCGCACGCACTCATTCAAAAGCAGCGTTTTACACACTGAAAGGATCTATGCAGGCTTTCACACAGGTTCATTTGAGTTGGCTGACAGTTGACAATGTTACTTTAATCCAATCCTTTCTTTGTTATGTGTTCTTTGTTTTAATGACAAAAGCATTAGAGCTTAATAAGAACGGACCAATTCTTAGATAAATCATTTAAAGCCGTGGGGAACTTTTACCCCACAGGCAAGGGGCGCTGTTGCTACAGATTACTGACACAAAATTATGGATTTTAATGATATTTCAATTATAATTAAGTTTGTAATTCCCATATTTGCGGAAAGAAAAAAGTTAAAATTACTTGTTAGAGGAATCACTGAAAATAACAAGAAATTAATTTAGATAAAATTCTTTGTGGTAAAATTGATATTCTATAATCAATGTTTTTCAATATTTCAATTATATATATATATATATATATATATATATATATATATATATGTGTGTGTGTGTGTGTATTTTTTAAGGCATTTGCCTTATGCCTACTCAACAGAATAGAATTTAATTTCAAACTTAGTAGCCCACTGGTGGATCATGCTGTCTTCAGAAGACGCTAAGTGCCCTCCATGTGGTCCTTTTGGGCTCCTTGGTGCCTGTGGGCACCACGTTGGTGACCCCTGCTATACAGACTGATATTAAAAGATTGAAAAATCTGGAAAAATTACACCAAAATGATTACAAGTTGACATATTAAGGGGTTTCGGGTCCAGCAAAGATAATACACCCCAACATTTCCCATAGGAAGTTACAGAGAAGCCGAACACTTTTAGCAGCCAGCAACATTTTGTTCTGATTCTGCGTGAATGTTAAACCTCTCTCCTTGTCACAAATGGTCTAAAGTTGATCTGGTTAATTTCAATCAATACCTTTGCTGATTTTTTGTCTGGGATCATTTGTAATAATTGGTAGTCCTCCTCTTTTATTATTTTCTCCAATGTGTTCAATGCTAGAGTACCAAAGGGACAAAACAAGCCGCCACCATGATCTTAGGTTTGAAAGCCGTACTTTGACTCCTCCAAACATTCAGCCTTTATACCATCTGTTATGTTGGCACTGGTATGATTGGCTTTAGATTTGGTGGTTTTAAGGGTCTTCCTTAAAATCCAGGGCTTCACTTGTTTTGATTTGGATTAAAATTTAACACAGCTGGATGTCCTCATAGCACCGCAAACATGAACACACAACGAAACACAACGAACATGGATGGGGCAGAGCAAGCTGGCACTAAGCTCCACATTTTTGGACTATGCTTGAAATCTAAATCTGGGTCAGTCAGCCAAAACATTTCAATAAGAACTGCCTTTTTATTTTTATTTTTTTACCAAGAAGAGGAGTTTTCCAGTATATAAAAGGTCCTTGCACATTGCTTGTGTCTGTGTTTTCGTTTTAACCACGGGTGGATTTAATTCACAAAAATTACAATATGTGCCCCCTGTTTTAGTTTTTAAAAGTCGCTAATGGTGAATAGAGGAGGGTTCAAAGATAAAAATAAAACCCTGCATTTCGGCATTCATAACAATATTTTGGCTTTTATATAATATTTGACTGAAACTGTGTGATTTAGGTTAATGAATGTAATAGTTATAGGCAAATCAATGTGGTGATTGTAGAAAAACACCATTATTAATTTTTTTGTAAATAATTTGTTTAAAGCAAGATAATCTAATGGCAAAACTGATAAAAAAATTTCCTCCAAACTTCCATTCTCTACTTGCTTTCTGAGATAGTTAACCAAACAAATAACTTTTAGTTGAAAGCAAAAACTTCGGAATTCTTAAGCACTGCTAAAAAATGCACATGGTTGTACCTTCCCATTGTGCTGAGAATAAGTTAAGAAAACATTTACCTATATTATGATAACTGCATTGGTCTCAGGCATATAGGTCAGGTAATTGCTAAAAAAAAAAAAAAAAAAAAAGATAAATGTGTGAAAATTAGGATTTCAATACAAGAACAAATCTAATGATATTACAAAAAAAAAAAAGAAATCATCAAAAGAATGACACTTTAATAAAAAAAGACTGAATATTAAGCAAAGGTAACAGAAAAACCTCAATAAAATGATGTGGGAAATTACCAATGACCATGATTAGTTAATTAATAACAAAAGAAAAACAATCAATCTGGTGAATAAAATGTGCAACTATTATCAAAGATCCATCCATTTTCCATCATGCTTATTCATGGGGGGTCACTAGGGGTGCTGGTGCCTATCTCAAGCTGTCTATGGGCGAGAGGTGGGGCACACCCTGGACAGATTGCCAGTCCATCGGACGGCAACAAAGCAACAAATAACCATTCATGCACACACTCACAGAAAAGCCAATTAACCTTACAGTCAAGCTTTTTGGACTGTAGGAGGATCCCAGAGTACCCAGAGAGAACCCACGTATGCACAGGGAGAACATGCAAACTTCATGTAGAAAGGAATCGGCTGGGAATTGAACAAGACAGGCAGCAGTGCTACCCACTGTGCCACGGAGCAGCCCATTTATCAAACCTGAATGAGGAAAATTAAAGTAAGAAATTTTAGACACAACGTGAACAACATGGAACCTTTAAGGACAGAGTAGAGCCCGACAAAAACACCTCCAAATGAAGCTGAATGGTGGAAGTTCTCAATAGATTTTAAACAGTGATTCAAAGTCTGAGCCCACAGGTAGATCTTCTTTTCTTGTGTTTTCAGTTGCTTCAGCGTTTGGATACCTTGAAGTTGGAATAAGATCCTCCTTCTGTGCTTTCTCCCAAAGTCAGTTTTCTCAAAGTACTCCACTTTTCTCCCACAGTCTCAAAACAAGCATGTTTGGATAGAAACAATGAATGAATGAACCCTTAGGTGAGTTTGATATAACGGCGTTTGCATTGGTTCTTAATGGACTAGACCTTAAGTTGCTCACTGACCCCCAATTGACCCATCCAACATTAGGCAGGTGCATTTATATGTTAAACAGTGGTGTAGGATGCAACAGGTTGCCGGTTCAAACCCCAGCTCCATCTGTTTCTGTCACTGTGTCCTTGAAAATTTAACCCACACTGGGATTTGATGAAGCACTATACAAGTATATGCCTTTAACCATTTCAATGTGTGAATTAGCGGTGGTAAACGTCTTAAATTCAGCAAGACCAAGTAGAGTCCACTAAACTTTGCTGAGTTAGGTGAGCATTATTTAGCCAAACAACCAAGAAGAAGCTACAGAAAACTACAGCTCGGGTGGCAAAAATTATTAAAATAAGGTCTAGTATTTGTGAACCCTGCAAATCTGTCTGTTTTGGTGGAAAAAAGAAGGCCGCTGATGAAAGAAAGCAAAATAAGTAAGTTTTCCACACAACAGGTGAAAGACAGATTGGAAAGGAAAAATAATGCTACACATTACTACGCAACACCACTCCCACTGTTAAACACAGAAGTGGCCCCATCATGCTCTGGGGATGTTTCTATTTAACAAAGACAGCTTTGGATAGAACTAAATAAACAGTAATCATGCAAGATATTTCAAATGCAGAAAACTGGTGTAAATTCACCTTGGTATAGATGTGCAGCTGGTGTATTCAATGGTTTTGACCACTTATTTAGACCCAACTCTTATAGTTCTGATAAATTGATTTCACAGTTTCTCTTGCAAAAATCTGACTGACTCTTTGCTATCTCACAAAGATAAACTATGTAAAAAATGGTATCTGGGTGTCAGCTGGTACAGACTGGACATGTATCATATTTGTTTGTAGAAAAAATTTCTTCCATTTCACACATATGGAGTCCTTTGTGGAAATGTACTTTGTAAAATCTTGACAAAATAAGTAAAGTTTTGTCTTAAACTCTCTGGATATTTGCAAGCTTTCTGATTAAACTGCATAATTCAGCAGCTTATTTTTCCTCAACACGCCTCACCATATCCTGTGTTTTAGTGGGTCCAACCTCTGAATAAAGCAGTGATTTAATCACCCAGCTGCAATCCCTTGCCCTGTTTTTCCTCTGTCCTTCGCTACACCCTCTCCTCTCCCTTCCTTTTTCTGCTCCCTACCAAATGGTCCAACTCTGATAGCACACCAGCTTCCCTTAACTAATGTGTTTCAGTGTGTATCCGCGGTTCAGCAGGTGGGGCTCTTATGTCAATTTCCTTTTTTATGTATATCTTATGAGCCCTGCTTCCTCTTCCTGCTTAAATGTGGAAACAGAGATTTCTCTGCCAGGTATGTACTCATAGACAGTAATCCAAGATACATAAATCTGCAGCCCAGAAGGTGTTTTTTATTATGTTTTTAGCATGCATGTAAAGCCATTTGTGTTCAACATCTTGCTTTAACTTTTTGCATTCAAGATGCAGAACAGTTGGTAAACTTTGGAGTTACATGAGAAGATGCAGAAGGGGAAAGAACTGTGAAAGTCCAAAGAAACACTAAAACCTTAAGAAAACTTCAAGGATTTTTTTTTTACTTAAATCCACTTACATGAATCATCCGAAAATATAGCTCTTTAGGAGGTGTTTACTTTTCCCTGATATAAAAAATAGTGCATGAAACCCAGCACATTTTATGTGCTTGAGCACGTCTTCTTCTTCTTGTATGTTTTATGGCGGCTGACAAAATAGTTAAAGTGTATTA